ATGTCAATTTTTATAAAAACTTTCAAATTTACCCAAAACCTCATATTAATATACCAAAATACTTTCCTAATTACAAAACCACACACCAAAGAGGTGTTTTTTGTCACATCCCGGCCCGGGGGGACCACTTCCCGGGCCCACTCCACCACCGTAGCACGATATTGTCCGCTTTGGGCTTACGTGGGCCCGGGAAGTGGTCCCTCGGGCGAGATGTGAAAATTTGGTATTAGAGCCTAACCCTGATCGTGGTGTGCCGATGAGGACATCGGGCCCCTAAGGGGGGTGAATTGTGACATCCCACATCGCCCAGGGGAGTGATCCTTATATGTATATTCACATCCCTACCAAGCACGAGACCTTTTGGGAGCTCACTAGCTTCGGATTCCATGGGAACTCCGAAGTTAAGCGAGTAGCGCGCGAGAGCATTCCCAGCATGAGTTCCTAGAAACTAAACCGTGAGGGAATAGTAAGCCCAAAGCGGACAATATCGTGCTACGGTGATGGAGTGGGCCTGGGAAGTGGTCCCCCCGGGCGAGGATGTGACACTTTTTCTGTTCGTTCTTTTTTGTTCATTTTCAATTTAAGGTTCTATATTGTAATTCAAAAATATAGAAAAAAGATGGGGTATTTGTTCTGATGGAATTGAACCCATTATATTCTCAAGTTTATTTCATAATTGACAAACTTAGAACCAAGACCATGAAAAAAATTACACAAAAATACAATTTATGTATGTTTTTGTGTAAGATTCAATTGGTATTTTGCAGAAACTTTCATGGAAATTGCCATTAACGTTCTCATGGCATTCTGCACATTTGTTGGATCACCAAAATTAGATTAGCTATTTAATTAAGCGATGGATATTGAGCATGAAAGGCATGCCCAGTCCACCAATTATAACGTTTGGATCCTTTTGATTTAATGGCCGTTTCCATGGCTCTCATCTGTTCTACTAATCTAATTTATTCTTTGAACTTTATACTTGTGGTAGAGTTCTTCGAATTTTATACTTAGGATAGACAAGTAGAATGTGTTTCCATCTTCGCAATGGTGCAGCTGACGTACATCCATGGTGTCTTCCTTGTTCAACCATGGCTGTAACTAATATACATTCATGCGTGCCCAGTTTACCGCTCCCAAAACCTCATTAACAATGACACAAGATTTGAAAGGATTTTGACGTAACTAGGTGTAAATTTTAAGGGCAATTAGGTCTATTCAAGTGGAATTTTGGCTATATTTGAAATATTTTATAAAAGCTGACATTTTTGAATTTGCATGTTAAATTTTGGCTATATACGATAAAATCTCCTAGTGTACATTGCTTAAAACCCTATTAGTTAAAAGATTTTAATCAAAGTCCTTTGACTTTGTAAATAAAATAAATCACCACATTTATGGAATATAAAGTCTCATAAGATTTGAAATTTAACGTTTATGGGATTACAAACTCCACCCTTAGAAAACCTTAAACCAATTAAAAATTGGTGATTAAAATGTGGAGAATAAGTTATGAAAATATTTTTTTTTTTTTATTGAATGTCATGATAAAAGATAAATGTTCCCTTAAGAATGTACCCATGTACAATTATAGTAATTCACAAGAATGTACTCATATACAATTTCAACATTAAAACCCACATGTGACAACAACAGCAAAAATAAATAAATAAATAAAAATGTGCCCATATAAATTCTTAATGTAAAAAATGATTAAAGGATAGAAAAATGGAAGCAAACCATATGACCAATTTACTTAAGGGTACATACTATATAAATCTTATAGGAAAAAGTTATACATATATGGGTACAAAATAATTTAGAAGGAAAAGTTACAATGGTAGTATAGATTAAACATTGAGTACGTGGATTAAGGAACAAGAGAAGAGAATGTATCCAATGAAATTAAAATTGTGTTCATAGCAATATAATGGTCATTTGTTATGATTTTGTTATATGATGGTCATGGAGAAAAAGTAAGTTTGAAATTAATTAGCAAAATTTAAATTTGAAGATACATATTCAATATAACAATGTTGAATTTGAATATGAACACAAATTTGAGTGAGAGAATTTTGAGATTTTTAATTACAAATGTGATAATGTGGTAGAAATTATAAATTAAAATTTGTATAAAAAATAAAAAGATGACATGAAAGTATTTTAATAGTAAAATGCTGAGGTGTACAAAGTCAAGAAACTTTGATCAAAAACTAAAAACCAATAAAGTTTCAGTTTATGAACATTGGTAACTAGGAACTGGATCCTAATTTTTCCAAAAAAAAAAAAAAAAAAGGCAAGAAAAGGAAACTGATTTCACATGAAATGTATGCAGTGCAGGACGTATTGGTATTGGCATCATAGTGGGCCAATAGTTCTACTTTAAAAATTAATGGCCTCATGCCTAATCCAAGCTGGAAGCCTGAGCCTCCGGGCAAAGCATGTTATGAAATGTGCTTTTAGAGAAAATAAAATCTAATTACACAAAATAGAAGACAAAATCTAGCTGTACATACTACATTGGATATCATGAGTTACAAGATCCTTCAAAGTTTGGGTACTTGTGTTTTTTTTTTTTTTTTTCTTTGGGTAACGAACCTAAGATAATCTATACTAAATTCATCTAAATTATGGGAAAGGAAAATGATTTGCACTCACATTGCATTAGAATAAAGAGGAGAGATTTTTTAACGTACATGAAATATAAAGGGGGGTACACTATGTGTTGAAATATAAGTAGAAGGATACTAGAAAATATACCAAAAAAATGAGACATATTAATCATGTCGTCTATTTATATTATAACACGTGATATACATTTATGTGTTATGAGTACAAAGAAAAATATCCTATATTTTAAACAAAAAAAACCTTATCCACTAGAATAATCCATTACTTACAAAGTTTGAGTACCGAACAGAACATATGTTGATAATCTGTGACCAATATATACAACACCTTAATTTCCGGTCACTAAATGAGAAATTATGATGTGGTCCATATTTCTCTCTGTACCTATTTTCTCCCAACTCCAACCATCTCTTAACTTCAACCCTTCTACAACAGAAAATTAAAAACACAAGAATTCGATTTACACCCAAAAAACTTCTCATTACATCCAAACTTTAATTGAGTTTTATGGTAGTTACACCCCTTTTTACAATTACTCAAATGGACTAGTCCTAAACACACACAAAAATTCTTTAAAATTAAAAAGAAAAAAAATCAACTAAATCTTACTCTATATAATGGCTGTCTTTCCAATGTTGACATATTAAACTCGACCTGGCAATGCAAATAAGTGACCAAATACAACCTAGAAAGTAAAGAAACGCCCCAACCATAATGGCTTGTTAGTCAAGATCATGGATGAGGAAATCTCACCCGATGATTCGACCTGCCTTCAGCCTTCTGCATCACATTAAGTGAAATTGGGACTTCTCTCCTGGCTTCTTGCACGTCCCTCTCAGTACATGCAATAAATCGTGGAAGAGGTTAGGTTTTCATTTTTATGATTTGATCAGTTACGTTAATTAAATAAACCAAAAAATTGAGGTCCCTTGATAACAATTTGTTTTTAATTTTTTTGCTAGATATGGTGGGGCAATACATGTGAGAACTAGGGATATAGTATTAGAAAAGTTGATGGATGATGAGAGAAATGCAGAAGCAAATATATAAAAACAAATGTACACAAAATTTATGTGCAAAAATACTTTTAGTTGGACTTAAGTGTTTTTTTTTTTTTCAACTAAGAAGCACTCTCAATTTTTTTTTTTTTTGCCAAACACTATCAAAAGTGCATTTGGTGATCTGATAGCTCTGTTAGTGTGCAGAACAGATGAAGTTAATAGAGTTTCGTATGGCAAGTGGTGGATTACGCGGATGGCGCTTTCCTGTTTAACCCACTGCATTCCAGATTCAAACTCTTCCTGTAATTTAGTATTTAAGTGTGTAATAAAACAAATTAATAGAGTTTTCATACGCTCTTCACCGATGTAATGGAACAGGTCACTTGGTAACTTCATTTGTAACTGAAAATAGAGGATCAAGTATGACTTTTCCAAAATGATTATTTAAAGTTCTAGCCAAGAATATAAACATCTAAATTCGAATGTAATAAAAATATACTATTGTTTGACAATAAAAAGTATGTGGACTATGGCATAGCATTTGTACCTATGAATTTCTTGCTAAGAGTGGGTGAGATTATTTGGATACTTTCCAATAGCATCTCTCTAGTTCATAAAATCTTGCTCCAATTTGAAGTTTCTCATGGTATGTGTAGTTTGGAGTATATGGTACGGGACTCCTAATATAGTATATGCGAGGGCCGCGAATTGATAGCTGAGCCACTTGTGTTCTACTTACCATTTTCAGAGGGATTCGTAAAGTTATCTTTTTCTTTAGTAGCATATAACTTGGACAAAATATAAAAAAAAATTCATCCAATTTTTCTTTCAAAATGGCTTCAATACAATGAACCCATCCTCTCTAACAAACTACGCCTTAATTTACAGAATTCATAGGTAACTAATAATACCAATGATGACATAAACCTTGTTAGTCGAATTGAAAGCATTATTTTCTTCTTTTTCCTATAAATGGTTATCTAATTAAACTGTTTCTCGAAATCATACACGGCTACTAGTCTCTGACATTTGTGATATATATCTATATATATATATATAATATATATGTGTATATATATGGATATGACTAGGATTGAAAGCCAAGTAATTACTAAGACAAGAAGAGATGCCTGATCATGAAACACAGCCCGACATGATATATATCATAAGTTTGTTGTACTCACTCTACCTAATAAGTAATAATACATCCGCTGCTGCCTTCTTTTATCTAACAACAGAAAATACACAGATCTTCTATCCTCAACGGGGCTAGTTCTTTATGTTCAATGTAGATAAAAAGCTTGTCGATCTAAAATCCGGTACAAAAGTACGCGAAACTGTGCACGTATAGAACCCTCAGTTAATAATTTAATAGTTTGATCCAGGAGTATCCCAGGTCTCAGGTATGATGGAGTGAAGCATACAGTAGTTGTCTTGGTAGCCACCACACTCAGTAGTAGAATACGATGAATTCGGAGTGTCATGTATAACCTCTTCAATCTTTTCGTAAACTTCTTCAACAGTAGGCCTGTTTGTAGGTGAAGCTGATACACACTTGAGGGCAATGTTGAGTAGAGGAAAGGCCCATTCTTTTGCAGCTTTAGCAACCTCCTTGTCTAAGACCTCCCCCGTCCACTCCTCCTTAACCATGGCAGTCACCCACTTAGGAAGGTCTATCCCAGTTCCTTCTACAGTTTTGCCTGTTAGTAACTCCAGAAGAATCACGCCGAAGCTATAAACATCTCCCTTCTCCGACAACATTTTTTCTGGGGCTGTGTAACCATTGGAGGAAATGAGACACCCTTTCTTGGGGTCGAAGAAACTTGAAAGCCCATACTCGCTAATCAGTGGTTCATCATTGTCATCCAAGAGGATATTTGAAAGCTTGAGATTCCCATGAGGGATACAGTCATCAGACCCTTGATATATGAAGTCTAGCCCCCTTGAAATGCCGCATGCTATGGAGAGCCGAAGCCTCATGGAAAATCCCTCTTACCTTCTGTGTAACCTGCACATAATCAAAGAAATAGATAATCAAAATGCCTGAATCAGTTAAGGGCATTTGTAAATTCTATTGAAAGTGTATAAGGAATATGCAGATAAGGGTAGTGTGTTTTGCCCCCTTGCACCTGAGTTTGAATCCTGCCCCACACCTAAGATTAGAATAGTTTGATGTGAATGTACTCTCAAGCAGGTTTAGCAGACTTCCATTGCTTTGAAACTTGTAGATCAAAAGTTTTTCTTCATTAGTGGAATTGTAACCAAAAAGTGGTAGAATGTTAGGATGCTTTATAATCCCTATCTGCCTCATTGTTTGGCCAAACTCCTCAAAGGGTACTTGCAGTTTCTTCAACCCTTTGACTGCATATAGGGCATTGTTTTTCAGTATTACCTTATAAACGCCGCTGCTGCTAAAGGACTGATTTCTCAAATCTGCTGTGGCTTCAAGGAGGTCCTCCAATTTAAAACTCTCATGTTCTTCAACAAAGAACACGAGCTCGGAACGGTTCTCTAGTGGCTTCTCTCCCTCTTGAACATTAGGAGGAGGCATTTTCTGCGGAGAGTTTCGAAGCGACTTCAGAATCTCCCTGTCTTCAGCTAACTTAGCAGCCTGCCTTCCTACAAAGTACATGAATAAGAGAAAGAAGCCAAGCCCCACAACTAATGGTACCATGAATTTGTATCTCTTGTACCACGGTGTAGAGGGACGTGGAACACTGTCACTGCCACCATTCAGGCTCTCGGACTCTGTCACTATGGCCATTGAATCTACTACCTTTTCCTGCTTCTGGGCACCATGTCTTTGTAATCTCCTCGATTTCTTCACGTATGTATGAACTGGCTGAAATCCCTGTTCAAAGCGTGAGGCAGTGCTAGTAAAATGATTGTTAGAGAGGTCCAATCTCCTCAAATATTTCAGTTTAGTCAGAGCCTTAGGTATCCTCCCACTCAGAATATTGCTGCTTAGATTCAAATAGGTTAGCCTTGTGCAATGCAATATTGATTTAGAAATAGTTCCCCCAATTTGGTTTCTTGCTAAATTAACAACTCGAAGATTTGGGAGCTTACATAGTGAATCTGCATCAAGTATGCCACTAAGATTCAGATTTTCAAGCCTGATTTCTGTTATCGAAGTAGAGTGAGAACTGCACGTCACACCCTTCCAGTTATGCATACAGGGATTTTGCCGCATAGGTGCATTCTGGCCAACTTTTAGCACATCTTGAGGATCAACAGCTCTAACGAATTGCAGCAAAGCTTCAAACTCTGATGATTCGACTCCCTTACATACTGCGATTGAGCAAGAAAGCACCCCAATGCATATCAGTCCCTTCAGAAACGGATTGAAAGCTCTCCGGCTTGGCATTTTTGTTGGCTCTACTTCTTTGATTGACTCATCGCAAAGTGAATGAACTGTGATAAACTACGTTCCCATTTCTCAAATCACCCACCCCTTGTTGAATAAGAAGAGTATCCAAGATAACTCTAATGATCCCAAGAAGAAGAAAATAGAGCACACTCTTAAAGAAAGCTCACAAAACAAACTAATTAGCAAAGCTTTTCTTATTTAGCTCTAGGCTTTGTTTTTCCTTGGATGATATACAATGCTTGGAGACTTGGGTATTTATAGCAAACCAAATGAAAGCTACACCACACACTTAATTAAACTAAGATTATTTACTACCACACAAAACCCATTAATTGCACCTAATTTTTTTTTTCACTCAACCATACCTAACATTGCCTAACTTTGCAATTGTAAGCAATTACATCATCAAACTAGATATGGACTTGGACTTTAGATTGGGTTATGGATTACTTATGGTTTTGGGCTGACATTGATTCTCAACACCCCTCCGCACCCACACCCCCACCCCCACCCCACCCCCCACGCCACCCCTCCCCCCGCGCGGGGTTCTTCGCAAAAGTCTTGAAGTATCTCAAAGCAGGAATATAACTTACAATATCAAGGTGCATGGCTCAATTACTTTGGTGCATCAGATGAGGATATCCTTCGTATACTACAAAGTTTGTCATAAGTATTTTCTCCAATGTGTGAGATAACCAATGTTTTGAATAATTAATTTTCTTAATCCGTTATCTTTAATGTGATAAACAACAGCCATAAAAGCGCTCGTTTCAAATAACTTGCATAAAGTTAGTTAAGCAGTCTGCATTCAAATGAGTTTTGGTTAGGAAAATAGTTTCAACACACCCTTTTCTTTGATGTAAATTCATGTTTATTTGTGTTTCTTAATTCTGCGTTGATTTATTCAACTCATAAACATTAATAAACAAGAGTATGCATGTCAAGAAAAGATGAAAACATCATCACTTCTCTATTTATTTTTTATTCAATTACAATTGAGGAACTAAATACTGGATTATTCACTCTAACGGGTATATCTACATGATGTCATTGAAGTACTAATTATATGACTTCATTGGTATTTAAACTCAAGATACGGTATTTCGACTAAAAATCTCTAGAATTTGATATTTAACCTCGAGTTCTCTTTAGTCTTTTTATCAAAGAAGAGACATGTCAAGGTAGCATTGGTTCACGTCAAAGAGGTGGACATAAGGTTTCACCCAATTGGTTAGTGCAAGTATTGTCCTTTGTTATAATCACGAGGACGTGACACTATAATTACATAACGTTTCTTCCAAATAAAAAATAAATACATAAAGAAAAGAAGATTGCAAAATGATTTTTTTTGGTTGAAATAAAAATCCCAAATCTTATAATAATTTATGGCTTGTTTGAGAAGTGTTTTTAAATGACTAAAAACGGTTTAGGGAAAATTATTTTTGTAAACAGTTCATTATTTTTATAAAGAAAGGTGACAAGATAAATGGATTATCATAGGATAGTGTTCTTGTTATATTTCTAAGCTAACTACAAAATACACCTTTAATTTTAAAGTTTATTGTTATTTTCAAAAGGGTGATCAACCTTTCAATTTTTGCACATAACTAATATGGCGATTAAGAGTAAACAATCCAAACCACTCTAATGTTGGCAAGTCATTAACAATTTGTGAAATGAAAATCACATGCTTCTGCCCGTTAACAAACAGAAATCCAATGCTTCTAGTATAGTTTGAATTTTTAGCAATTTAATATCTCAAGTAGTAATCTTAAAGAAAAAGAAAAATTTGATCTCATTTTAGAATTGCCCCAAATCATATTAGTTGTTGATGCAAGACTAAAAGATCCTTTTACTTGGGTTGGAAGAAATGGAAGGTTCTGCCAGCGTGGTCACAAACCACAGCCATGTCTTTCCAAACAAAACATAGTGTGTGTGACAGCAAAGACCACAACAGCAAAAGGGGCAAATTGCCCACTCACACTTTTCAATATCATTGTGTTTTGCTTCACGCCAAGACACCCTTTTCAAATCTATTTTTTGCTTGTGAAGGTAATTGTCTCTTTTCCAGGTTGGCTCATCAACCAAATATGTCGGCCATTGCTCATTCCACCAGTTGACTTAAACCCATTTTTTTATTAATTAATATAACTTGAAATCTAATTTATGTTTGTTTTTAATTTGATTCAACACTATAAGCAAACGTCTTCTAAATCTATTAGAACTATAAGTGAAAGGATTGCTCTTGTGGATATGATCTTATTCTTCAATCCACTTTGTTTCGGATTCAACTCGCTTACCTCCACATAATTTAAATGAATTTTTATTGTAGATTATTCTTATCTTTTTTATAAAAGAAAAAAAAATCTATTTACTTTTGTTTACAAATAATAAATCATCTTTTATAATATGCACATAAAATTATGTGAACAGTTTGGAGACAGATTTTGCAAAACAATATTACAGGATCTTCATAAATATTTAATACATACAAGTATTCTAGTCAAGTTATAATACCGAAATCCTTGTAGTTATATAGCATCCCAATATTTGAATAAATCAAGCAACCAACAAAAGAAGAGACTCCAAGTTTTTCAGTCTACAACAATGACTTTATAATGTGAAAGCCCAATGTACAAAATTAACACCATGATCTTGAATCAAAAGCTCCCCAAAACTAAAAACAAGAAACAAATTCAAAGTTAAAAACCCACCTTCCGGTCCCTCCCCATATCTCCCTACAAATCGGTGTACAACTTGAACAAAAGCTAAAAATAAAAATCAAAGCACTAATCCACATTAGTGGTCAACTAAACACACATAAAGACATAAATAGTTAAGAGTGCTCATGGTCAAACGTCTTGATCATTATCGTCGTCTTCAATTGCATTAAAGAATGTGTCCTTGAGAAGTTCAGTGGCAGAAGGTCTCGCTCTAGGCTGGGCGAGGCACTTGTCAACAAACGCTCTCACCTCCGGGTCTTTGATTTTGTTCAAGGCCTGGGGTCTTACTCCTGAGGATACCTTCTTGTATATTTTTGCAACGTTGTCACATTCACTATAGGGTATTTCCAAGGTCACCATCTCAAGCACACACATACCAAATGAGTAAATGTCCACCATCTCAGTGTAATCTTCTTCATACAGCTCTGGTGCCATAAATTCTGGAGTCCCTAACACTGAATGCGCTGAATGGTTCTTCCCCACTATAGCAGCCAATCCCAAATCACCAATCTTCACCTATTGAAACCATAAAGAAAATTTTAGAAAAAATTAAGAAACTACATAGAAACAAATCTGATAAAAAAGAACCAAAAATAGAAACAATTCTTATATAAATCCGAAAAATAAAATCTGGAAAAAAACATGAATAAGATGGAAAAACCCCCAAAACCGAAACTATTTCTTATTAACAAAACCCTAATAATTCAAGGAACGACTGGCTCAATATATGACTTAACTCAGATCCCCACCCGCTCTATAAAAATAATCAATAATAGAGAATGAATAATAATTATACCTGGCCAACATTCCCATTGATAAAGACATTGCTGCAATTGAGATCTCTATGAATAACACAAGGTTCATGAGTATGCAAATACTCCAATCCTTCCAAGATCTGTTTTGACCACTTCTTCAAGGCCTTCATCGAAACATGCTTATGCTTCTTCCTGTACTCCCTCAAATTCCCGCTTGTACAAACCTCAGTAATAAAATTGAGAGTGCTATGCTCAGCGTCCCGCCACACGTTGTACAAAGTGATGATGTTCTTGTTCGTCAACGACCTCAGAAGCCGAACCTCGGAGTAGAGCCTCTCGATCATAGCAGGATCGTTGGTAAAGTTACGTAGCTTCACTTGGTTCCATGCTACCTCTATGCCTTCCTCTTGATCGAAAGCCCGGTACACCTTTTTCACAGCCCCGCAACCTAGGAGCTCGTTGTACCGGCCGTAGCGGCCCGTTGGGTCTATTTCTATGAATGGTTCTTTGTCGGACTGATCTTCGTTTTCACTCGGCATCTGCCAGGAACAAACAAATATTAGCCCAGAAAATAAAGAGCCTCTAAATCAATGGAAGTACTAATTATAGATGCTCAATTATTGTTGATACAATAAAATTATAAAATATTTGTTGAAACTCAAAACGAATAACAATCTTAGAACAAAGCCGGAAAATAAAAGTCAAAGATTAAAGCTGCAACCCTATATTATAAGAAATTAACTTACCATGATAATACTACTAGCCAAAATTAACAACGTGTATGCCGATCGATGAATTTCTTGATCTTGAACGTTATTGAAAACAAAGAAAAGTGAGAAGAACGAGAAAGATGGGTACTTTTAAGCTATCAGAAACTATTATCTGCTGCAGAAACTCACTTTAAACACCTAAAAGGTAGAGGAATGAAAAGAATTGGGTTTAGGAGGCGTGGGGTATATACAGGAGATGTGAGAGTTCATGAAGGACTGAAGGAGTAGGTGGGGATGGCTAATCCTGATTATTGCAGGGTTAGTGAAAATTAATTGGGATGCTAAACAACATTGACCCGTTACTAGAAAGTTTTCTATCAGGATTGGATTCTTCAAGATAAGAAGATATATATAAAACGAAAGTAGTACTAAATTAAATAACTACTTTCTATATAAAAATTGCTCTAACTGGTTTCCCGGAGAATCACTTTGCTTATTTTGTTGAGTTAAGGTGGGAATTGGTTTGGTGTGAAAAATCTGAAATCAAATATTTTTTTCTATTCAACCCGAAGTCAACTGGGATCAGGATCTTAATCCTCCGCGTAGGCGGACTGACGGTCTAGATGAAACCAGAGCTTTCCAAAATTAATGGAGAAGGTTTTCTAGCGGTAAATAATGTGCTTAATTGTCAGCAAATAAAAACTATGAAAAACAGAATAGAACGAAAGAATATCACCCCACCCACACAAGCTGTTTGTTTCGTTTCAATTTTATCGGATGTCTCCAAAGGAACCACACAAGCTGTTTAT